TGTTTGTTTTTGGTTGCTTCAATCCTTCTTAGACCTTGGAGGAACAGCTTTTGAAGTGATCAATAGTTTGGTTTGCTTAGTAGGTAGTTGCATTTTGAAGGACTTTTTCTAAGGGAGTCTTAAAAAGTTTAAATGATTCAAATCTTGGTGGTTATGGTAAGTTTTGAGGTTGTTTTGGAAGCTTAAAGGGGCTATGCTTTTGCTGGGTTAGAATTGTGTTGTAACCTGTTTAATATGCTGAGATATGGTATTGATGAAGTTGCCTAGTTTCTTACCCGATTGTGTTGTGCTCTTTTTCTCCATTTAGGATTAGATAGATTTTTCGTGAGACTCACAATTCGAGATTTAACGTTGTTATATTTAAATGATAAAATCAAATTTGCATAGAAAAAAAATTTACACCCCTAATTAAGACATTTGAATCATCAAAAAATGCAAGGAAAGGAATTTTTCTTTTGAATTTTTTTTCGTGTTACTCCTTGTATGTTACTCAACTCTCATAATAGAACATTTGGAAACCGATATGTATTAGAGATGAGTATATTCAATTCTTTTTCCGAAGATTTTCACGTATTCATTCTTGTGTTGGACAGAGTCCGCCAAATCTATTCGATCTCATGACAAAAATTTGAAGTTTCCTTATCATATAAGTCTTTTCCTTGAATTCTTGCATGAAAATCTTTTCCGTCAACTTTGTTTTAAGGCCATCTCCATCCCTCATCTGTACTCTAGAGCATCTCTATCTCTACTCTAGAGATAAAAAAATAATTCATCTCCAGTGCTATCTCTACATTACCATTAACTTAACTTTATTTATAATATTTAACTATTATAATATTAATTTTACAAATATAAAAAAATCAGAAAAAATACAAAAAAATCCAAAAAATTATAAAAAAAAATTAGTATGATTATTTATCTAATTTCAATTTATTTTTATCTATCTTATAATTTAATATAATTTAATTTAAAAAAATATAGCACAAGCTACAGTACCGCGCTAGATGTGGCGCGGTACTGTAGCGATCTATAGAGTAGCGATGGATCCAGAGCAAGGCTAGAGCACTCCACAGCCAGAATTACGCTACAGTAAAGCAGCGTTGGAGATGCCCTAAAAGTCTTCCAAGTCTTTGTTTCCATCCATTCCCTAAGTGTCTCGAAATTGGCAATCAATCCTTTTCAACATTCACATTTATAATGTTATCCTTTTATACTTTCTACAACTTTTGAGGCTTATGTTATAGAGTGAAGTTTTATAGCTATATTGAGAGAGTGATTTGAGATACTTTGAGTTTTATTATGGATATCGAATTTTAAGATACATGAGTTATCATATATTTGTACACTTCGTGATCTCTACATCTATAGTGGATTAATGTTCTTCTTGTTGATAAAAGTAGATAAGGTCAAACCACATTAAATTTCGTCTCTTATACATGCTTTATTTTACGTTAATATCGTTTTGCTCATGCCTCTACATTAAAAACGTCATAATGATTATTGATCAATATATTTTAGTTTTATATTTTACAGAGCTAATAAACTAAATTAATTTGAACATTTAATATTATGATGATTTATTTATAATACATTTTATATTAAAATTATTTAGTTATTTTTACATATTCTTCAGACTAAACCTTTCATTTCAAATATTAAAAAAATAACAATATATCACCATTTAAAAAGCAATAATACTTGTTTTCATTTAAATATGACTTGCTTTCCACGGTATGCGAAGACTTGACGTGGACTTGGGTAGAATTTGCTTTTATCGATTATGCAAACAAAACAATTTGAAAGTTATCCCCTAACTTGTTTGTTCAGTAAAGTCGATTTCAATTTCGATTATTTGGTTATAAAACCAATTTAAATTTTAATTATTTATAATCAAATTCAATTTATAATTTAAATTGAGATTTTTTTAAACTAAGTTTTTGGGTATAATAAACTGATTTTCAATTTATTAATTGATAAATCCGAATCGGGTATTACATAGGCATGGGTGACCCTCTCAACCCAATTTGCTTCATTCGTAAAAGTCAAGATTCGAACTCTTAACCTTACTTAAGAAATCTAGTGTCATATCCCACTAAACTAACTGATTATTGATTTAGAACTAGTTTTTTATGTTTATATCTGATATCAAATTATAAGGAGATGTGATATAATTAACTCTTTAAAAAGCAATATATACTTGTTTTTATTTAAATATGACTTGCTTTCCACTGCACTTGACGTGGACTTGGTAGACTTTGCTTTTATCGATTAAGCAAACAAAACAATTTAAAAGTTATCCCCTAATTTGTTTGTTCAATTGACAAATCCAAATCGGATACTGTAAAAGTAAGTGCGTTTCTTTCAGTTTAATTTATTTTATTCATAAATTTCAGGATTTGAATTCTTAATTTTATTTAAGATATATAGTATTTTATCCTATTAAATCAATTAGTTGTTGATTTAGATTTTTTTTCTTTATATCTGATAATAAATTTTGAATACATATGATACAATTAACTCTTTAAAAAAGAATTTATACTTGTTTTCATTTAAATAAGACTTGCTTTCCACCGCAATGACTTGATAAGAGAGTGCTTTAAGACTCTTGACGTGGACTTGGGTAGAATTTGCTTTTATTGATTAAAAAAGCTAAACAATTTAAATATGACTTGCTTTCCACCGCAATGACTTGCTTTTCTTCAGTAAAGCCGATTTCAATTTCGACTATTTGATTACAAAATCAATTTCAATTTCTATTATTTATAATTGAATTTAACTTATAATTTGAATTGAGATTTTTTTAGAACTAATTTAAAATAATAAAAGTATATTAAAATGGTGCGTTGAGAAGCAAGATTTGCAGTACATGGTTTGAATGCAAAACAAAATATTATTTAAAGACATTAAACTAACAATTGAGAAGCATTTAAACTCAGTTGTTTCTGTCTTCATGATTTGCATATTATCCCCTACCCAACCTTATGTAAAAACTCCCTTCCTCCCTCCTTTTATATTTCTGCTGCTATTTGCAGCCTTTAGTGCTACTTTCTCTGCCAACATCACCATCGCAACGACTTGCTGAGAGAGTGTTATCCCCTAACTTGTTTGGTCAGTAAAGTCGGTTTCAGTTCCGATTAGATTATAAAATCAATTTCGATTGTTTGTTCAGTACAACCGTGAAAAATGGATGAAGCAGGCTGACTTTGATTTGTGTGAATGTGACAAAGTTACCAAAATTATAATCAATATTTAAGTTGAATTTTATTATAATTATAGTGGTCGACGATTATTTGATAATTAAGTTTATTTAATAAGAAAATATTTTAGGCTATATAATTCCTGTGGAATAGAGTCCTTAAAAATAATAAGAGAATTTTTTTTTAGAGATGTAATCATTTTGTACTCTCTGCATATTTTTGGGTTTATGTTACAAAGATGAGATTTACAGGGATATTAAGTGAGTGATTTTGGATACTTTGAGTTTTGGTATAGATATCAAATTTTAAGATACATGTGATATCATGTATTTGCATGTTTCATGATCTTTATGTCTATTAGGGTTAATGTTCTTCTTGTTCGTAAAGTAGACAGTCAAATCACGTTAAATATCGTTTCTTACATGTATCTTATTTTACGTTGATATCGTTTTGCGCATGTTTCTACATACATGTAACTATGAAAAATGTCATAGTTAATGTTTATTGATCTAATATATTTTAGTTTTATATTTTACAGAGCTAATAAACTAAATTAATTTAAACATTTAATATTATGATGATTGATTTATAATATATTTTATATTTAAGTTATTTATTTATTTTTACATATTCTCCCAACTAAACCTTTCATTTCAAATATTAAAAAAATAACAACATATCACCATTTAAAAACAATATGTACTTGTAATTTTCATTTGAATATGACTTGCTTTCCACGGTATGCGAAGACTCTTGAGGCGGACTTGGGTAGAATTTGATTTTATTGGTTAAGCAAACAAAACAATTTAAATGTTATCCCGTAGCTTGTTTATTTAGTTAAATCTGCAAACGAACCACAAAAGAAAATAAAGCTATTGAAAGACTACCGATAAACCGTAAATCAAAATTGAGCGATGTGAAAATGCTATCTACAAACGCAAATCATATATCCAAATTCAATTTGATGGTCCAAAGTAGGGAAGATCACCACGATAACAAATAAGTGTTATCTTGATCATTTGTGATAATGTCAAATCGAACCCTGAAAAAAAAAACAATGGCCAAACAACCAAAAATGCCATAGAGACAGAGAAAAACATGTCATAAAGGCAGAATAATACGTGCCAAAAAGGCATAATTATTAAGAATAAAAAAGAAATTAAAAAAAAGATACGTTATAATAAAGAAAAGGAAAAATAATGAATACCGACAGTCGACAATCAGTACTAAGACTAATGTCGTCGCCGATCACAAAGATGAGGAAGAAAAGAGACTGACAACATTTGACAGCTAAGGAAAAAGATACAATAAAAGAAAATTGGTTTCAACTTAGATTATTTACGATTAAATTCAATTTATAATTTGAATTGAGATTTTCTTAGAACTAATTGAAAATAATAAAAGTATATATTAAAAAAATCATAAACTATTACACATTAAAGTATTTAAATTTAATTCTTGTAATAATTTAATATTCAAATTACTCAAATAATAAGTTGAGAAACAAGGTTTGCAGTACATGGTTTGAATAATTGGAATAACAAAATAAAAATGTTAAGTTACATACGACATGAAGTAGAAAACGATAGAGAGGAAAAAAAGTCTTTGAATCGTGAAATATGGGTCCAGACATGAAGTCTTTAAAGAAGTATATCAGTTCTACTCTTCAACTCGAGACTAAGTCTTGCATTTTACGCCTTCCATTATGTGCCGTGTATTGTGGTTGGTTCTTTCTTATCCAAATTATGACTCAAAGGATACCCTGCCTAAATCCATCTTATTTAAAGGCATTGAACTGAAGCATTAAACCCAGCTGTTTCTCTCTTCATAATTTGCATTATACCCACACCCAACCTTATGGAAAAAACTCCCTTCCTCCCTCCTCTTATGTTTCTACTTCTATTTGCAACCTTTAGTGTTACTTTCTCTGCCAGCATCACCACCGATAAATCTGCCCTTTTCGCCTTAAAATCCCATATAACTCACGATCCGCACAATCTCCTAGTAACCAACTGGTCCACTTCTACCTCTATTTGCAATTGGATTGGTGTCACCTGTGGATCCAAACACCACAGAGTCACTGCTCTGAATTTGTCAAGCATGGATCTCACAGGCACCATCCCATCTCAATTGGGAAATTTATCTTTCCTTGCCTCCCTCAACATTCGTAACAATAGTTTTCATGGCTCTTTACCGACTGAGTTAACTAATTTGCATCGTCTGAAATATTTGAACTTTGGTAACAACAGCTTCAGTGGAGAAATCCCATCATGGTTTGGTTCCTTCACTAAACTTCAAGGCTTGCTTTTGTACATGAACAACTTCATTGGTGTTATCCCGTCCACTCTTGGCAATTTGTCAAAACTTGAAAAGTTAATATTGTACAACAACAGGCTCCAAGGGAAAATCCCCATGACTCTGGGAAAACTTTCAAACTTGGAACAGTTAGAACTGAATTATAATTCTCTTTCAGGTCCCATTCTTTTCTCAATCATGACTTTATTTTTACTAATAAAAAATATTTTATAACGTTGCATTACAACCATCTACTCTCACTTGAACAATTCTAATTTTATATTTCAGGTATAATTCCATCGGTTATCGAAACCTTTTAAACTTGGAATCGTTAATTTTGGATTATAATTCTCTTTCAGGTCCCATAATTTTCTCAATCATGACTTTATTTTCACTAGTAAAAAGTTTATTTTATAACTAACGTTGTCATTGAAGGTCATCTACTCTCACTTGAACAATTCCAATTTTTTTCTTCATTTTTTGTTGTCTAATTTTTATATACAATTGAACCATCAACCAATTATTTAATATCAAATTAGGGCAGATTAAATAAATAAGTCATAACCTACATATTGAAATAAGTTGTATGGTTGGTCTCTCTGAATCAAATACATTGGAACTATTTTTATATTTCTGTAATTTTTTAAATTTTTAGTCTCTTAATATAGTAATACTTTTGGCTATGAAAAAATAAATTAGTTTCACATTTCATACTTCTAACTCTTGAATATGATACTTAAAAATTGTATGTAATATTGTCATGTTTAGTGCTTGATTTATTTATTTATTTTGGATGCTTCAGTTTTTTTTCTTAGACTTAATACTTCCAACTATTTGGAGCTTTCATAAGTAGTAAAACAATTTAATAAAATTTTATTTTTTTAAATAAGAAAAGAAATGTAAAACATATACCTACAGCTCTCAACAAAAAAATAAGGATCTTCTATAAAAAGAATATTAATAGTTTTTGACAAATTTAATTATATATTTAGATAAAGTTTCATCAGCTATTGAAAACCTGACCATTCTCACATACATAATTTTTTTCTAATAATGATTTTTTTGGTAAATATTTTTTGGATTGAATAATTTCAACAATTTGCAACTTTCATAATAGTGAAATATACTGAATAAATTTTAAGTTTAAGAAATAAGGAAAGAAATGGAGAACAAATACCTCTAGTTCTCAACATAAAAATTAAGGTTTTGTTAGAAAAAAATATTAAAAAATTGTTGGTCAATTTACTTATATGTTTAATGCAAAATTTTATTAGTTATTATAAACTTTACTTATCTTGAGAATAATAGCCTTTCTTTTAACAACTTGAAAGATATTATATCATGTTTTTTGAGATTTTATATCTTTATCGATCTTGAAATTAACAATCTTACTGTAGGTCGTCTAGAGTCGGGAATACTTGATAACTTGATAACCTTTTTAAATTACAAGTATTAAGCTGGGAGGGAAACTAGATTTCTGGTAGCATTCCCAATAGTTTATACAAGTGCAAAGAGTTAAATGTTGGACTGATTATTTATTGCGCAGGTCCTATTCCGTGGTCAATCTTCAACATTTCCTCTTTGCAAGTAATTTCTTTGGGATCCAACAATCTCTTTGGTTCTCTCTCCACCAATGTGTTCGATAATCTTCCTCGATTACGTTATCTTGATTTGATAAGCTGTCAACTTTCTGGAAGAATTCCAATGACTTTATTCAAATGCAAAGAGTTAGAACATATACACTTGGATGATAATCATTTAGAGGAAACTGTGCCATTAGAAATCTCAAATTTAACTTCACTTCAAATTTTCTCCATCGATGGAAACAACTTTTCAGGTAACTTAAATGGCTCAGCTTGCTTTAATAACATATTTAAATATAAAAGAGATGTCACGATTGAATTTTTAATTATACTGTCTTAATTTATTTTAGCTTGTCAATTTGTTTTCTTAACATAGTAATATTCTTGGCTCATAAGAAAATAATACATCTTTTAACTTTTATTAGGCCAAACTTGTGCAACAAATATAATGTCTTAAATTGATGAAAATAATAAAAGCATTCATGTTTTGTAATTGGATGTGGAGATCACTAAACCAATTGTACATATTTCTTAAGTCATATTATTTAATATGAGACAAATAGAGTATACAAGTTATAGTTCAAAATTACCTAAATTCTAAAAATATAAACATAAAGATACTCAATCACACTACTATAGACATAATATTCTTATTTTGTCAAATCATTTTGACAAATTTAATTTTACAATTCAGGTACAATTCCATCGGTTATCGGAAATATAATTTCTCTAGAAATTATTGATTTTTCGAATAACAACTTGGCATGTATAATATAACTTTCCTTCCTTTTTTTGTTGTTATTTTGTTATACATTTATTAATTAGTTATAAGAATTTTTGTCATTTGATGTGTCCTTTTGTATTAAAACATAAATCATTTAAATATTAAACACAGATAAATCCATTCTAAAATGATTTAAATTTTAATTATCTTATTTTTTCGTCAAATTTAATTTTACATTTCAGGTACAATTCCATCGGTTATCGGAAATATAATTTCTCTAGAGATTATTCATTTTTCGAATAACAACTTGACAGGTATAATATAACTTTCCTTCCTCTTTTTGTTGTTATTTTGCTATATATTTATTAATTAGTTATAAGAATTTTTGTCATTTGACGTATCCTTTTGTATTCAAACATAAATCGTTTAAATATTAAACTCAGATAAATCCATTCTAAAATGATTTAAATTTAAAATATCTTTATTTTTAACTTGAAATGAACTAAACAAAATTTCCTTGATTTTTCTAATATCAACTTTTTTTGGTAAATTTCCTTGATGCATAAAAAGAAATGATCATAATCCTTTTCAATGTCAACTTTTTTTTTATTTCGTTGGAAAATTATGTCCAAAATTTGGTAATTTGTTGCATGTCATGTGATATCCAAGTGATTTTTTCAAAAATATATTTGTTGATTCTCTAGCAAAAATGATATTTGTTTTACATACCTAACTGTTGGAAAGTGTATTGATTTGCAATTGTCATCTTTTTGTTTAATGAGAAGAATATTTAAAATCATTTTAAAAACAATTATGTATTTTACTACAATTCAGGCTCCATAAATGGTATTGTAAGAAAAGGCCTGATGTTGTTAAGTAAATTAACAAACATTTTTTTATTTGTTTCAAAGATTATTCAAACTTCTGATTCAAACTCTATTTCATAATTTCTGTAAGGCCAAATTCCTTCCTCATTATGCAATTTGAATTCCCTTGTGGCTCTCTTTTTATCGAACAATAGTTTGGATGGAACAATTCCAGAGTGCATTGGAAACTTGACTTCTTCTCTTTCACACGTTGACCTACGGATGAATAATTTTCATGGTAAAATACCTGAAAATTTCGCTGAAGGTTGCCGCTTAAAAAGTTTTCTAATCAGCAAAAACCAAGTCGAAGGGTCACTGCCACGATCTTTGGGTAATTGTAAAGATTTGAAGCTTCTTGATGTTGGGAACAACTATTTAAATGACACATTCCCAAATTGGTTAGGAAATTTGGATCAGTTACAAGTGCTTGACTTGAGATCGAACAGATTCTATGGTAAGGTGGATAGCTCTGATGTTACCTTCACTCGTTTGCATGTCATTGATCTCTCTCGTAATAACTTCAGTGGCTACCTACCTGTAAACTTTTTTGAAAATTTGCATGCCATTAGAGAAGGGAATGGAAAGAAAGTTAAACCAGAGTACATGAAAGATGTAATGGTTGGTGAAAAAATATCTTTTTGGCTAGGTTTATCCTTTACAACAAAAGGGTTGGAAACAGATTTTGAGAAACTGTTAACGATATGGACAGCTATTGACTTCTCCAGCAACCAATTCTTTGGAGAAATTCCTAAAACAATTGGAGAGCTTCATTCACTAATTGTCCTAAATCTCTCTCATAATTGTTTAACAGGTCATATCCCATCATCATTAGGTGATTTATCAGAACTTGAATCATTAGATCTCTCATTAAACAAGCTCCATGGAAGAATTCCAACAGAGTTTACAAATCTTGGATTCCTAGAGGTGTTAAACCTTTCTCATAATAATCTCGTGGGACTCATTCCTCACGGCAAACAATTTGATACTTTCAGTAATGATTCCTACATAGGAAACTTGGGTTTATGTGGATTGTCATTATCTAAAAGATGTGATAATGATGAGGGAACTCCAGCCAAATTTGATAGAGATGAGGATGATGATGGATTGAATTGGAAATTTTCTATATTGATGGGGTATGGATGTGGGTTGGTGTTGGGATTGAGCATGGGATACATTGTTTTCACAACTGGAAAACCATGGTGGTTCATTAAGATCTACGTGAGAGTTCAACAGAGATTTGTAAGAAAGGTAAAAAAGAGAACTCTTTGACGGATTTTTGTTGCAGACCGAGCAGTGGAGAGAGGAGAAAACTTCATTGCATGGTGGAGACAGGCCTTTTTCTATAGTTGTTTTATATATAGTTTGCCTTCAATAATTTCTAAATAATTAACCCCAAAACTAAAAGTATGATTTCATGTATTGACCCTCTTCTGTTATCTCTTTTCTCTTATATTGTACTTGAATGAATCCCTACATTTTGTGGAGTTTTAAGAAATTTTAGATTAATTTTTTTTTGTTTATTTTTAATTTGGGAGGTTAGTAAGATAATATAATTAAATTTATTAATTATAAAAATGAATTTTATATTGATTCATTCATTAGTTAAATATTGAAATACTTTTATTACTATTAATGATTCATTTGATCTAAATACTTATTTTGACTCTATAGTATAATTAAACTCTGACCATACATACAGAAAGCTCAACTCATTTCTCCATTTCTAAGCTATAATTTTTTTAATAAAAAAACTAAATTTTTATACATTACTTAAGAGATATCAAGATTTGAACTAACCCCTCTCGGATAATTTAATGGTTTTTTAATGAAAAATTTTATATCTTTGTTATTTATTATGAAATTAAATATTTTTATTATCAATTTATTGTTCTTAAATAATAATTTTAATTGATTAGCAAATTATGAATAAATTTTATATATCATGAACATCACATAAATTATTATCATTATATCACTTTTTCCGAAAATAAAGTTATCTATCAATTTTATTAATCGAACGTAATCCACTTATCAATATTCTCTTCTGACCATTGTAACCAATTTACTCAAATAATAGTTTCACGGTGGGACTCGAACGCACTGTGTCTTGCTCTAGAGGCAAGCGCCTTATCCATTAGGCCACGTAAACACTTTTAATTACAAAACAATATAATTATAAAATCATATAATCCTTTTAATTTAAGGGTAAAGTATATAAATAGTTCTCAAACTTTAAGCACTTGTATTTTAGTCACCCAACTTCTAAAATTTGCAATATAGTCACTGAATTTTTAGTTCGATTTTAGTAAGGTCTCTGACGTTACTCGTTGTTAGTTTTATCTAACGTGGCACGTTAACTCCATTAGACCCCTCCGATCTTCTTCTTCTTCTTCTTCACAGATGAAACATATCTATTGAAGCTCACAACCCAAGAAAACAAACTAAAGGCTTTTTGAAAACATTTTTCTCTTTCTCTATTCATGTTCTTCAACAACTACTGCTATAGTATACTATACTCTATACACCTTATCAATAAATAGTCACCTTACTAGTATGGATTCTTTGAGTATTTACTAGTCTGGGTTTCTTTCGGAATCATGGTTGCATTAACATGTGTGGTGGCGAAATTGATTCTCATGAGAGAAAAAAAAACAATGAAAGTGAAAAAGAAGAGCAGTGGCAATACCCGAGATATGAGTAGAGAGCGGAGGTACTCTTACTGCACTCAACTCGATTTCTTACCAGTTAACATCCCATTAACTTTGTTATGAGACTTTATCATATATACCCACATAAAAGCTCTCGTTGGATTATAGGGCGATAAACATAAATGTGAAGGTTGAACATGTTTTTCATGGTTTGCAAAACCTCAAAAGCTTATATGGATGTCAAAGTTTTTAGTAAAAATTATTTCAAGAGCAGAAGAAGTTTTAAAGGATGGCAATGACTTTTGAAAGCATTGGATAAATGAAAGAAATAAGAACAAGAATGGGTGACTTTTGTTTGTGTTTATAATTGTATTTTTTAATCTTAAAACCTAGAAGAAGTAGTAGTAGTAGTAGTAGAAGAAGAAGAAGAAGAAAGAAAGAAAGAAAGAAAGAAAGAAGAAAAAGAAAAAGACCGGGGGATTAACGTCCCACGTCAGATAAAATTAATGGGCGAGTAACGTCAGGGACCTTACTGAAAATGAAATAAAAGTTTAGCGACTGTATTGTAAGTTCTGAAAGTTGGGAGACCAAAATGAAAGTGTCCTAAAAGTTTGGAGACTATTCATGTACTTTACACTTAATTTAATTATAAAATATTTAATACAATCAGGGATGGACATAGAAGGATGGCAGGGACGATATCCCCTTAAAAAATATTTTTATATAATTTAGATATTTTTATTTTTTATTAGTAATATATTTATGCTCCTAACTTCTTTTAAAAATTATCTTAAAACATAAAATCATGACTTCGTCATTGATGATAATATAAAATACAAACGTAATATGAATATATAAATTTGTCAGGTCGGAACTCATTAGCATAACTCAAAATACAAAAGCAAAACTAGGACATTGAGTTAAACCATCCATGTTCAATTTATATTTAAAAGGCTAGATGGCTTACAATATGTCTATGCTGATTTCATTTGAGGAGTAAAGTAATGTAGATGTCTCGCAAGTTGAACTATAGTCATGGGACATATCTGTGTTAGAACCATGAGATTGATCTGTTGGTACTTCAAAGGGAAGTTGAAAAGGTTGTGGCGGCATTCGGAGGAGTTCGACATCGATTTCCAACATCTCCAACACTTTGCTCATCGAAGGACGACCGTTGGGCTTTATTTGTACACACCAATAAGCTATTATCACCATCTTCTTCACCCTGATCTTTTCGTCATAACATCCCCAAATCTATCATCACTATGATAATACCGATCATTAGGGATGACAAAAAAAACCCGAACCCGACGGGGAAAATCGAAAACCGAATTAAACGGGGACGAGAAAAAACCGTTTATGTTAAACGGGGACGGGTTTAGTAATCCCCGCCCCGATTACCCGGCCCGATACCCGACCAGATAATTATTAAAAATAATTATTTTATATATATATATATAATATTAATAAATTTAAATTAAATTAAATTAAAAAATATATATAATATTTATATATTTAATTTAAATATATATAACTAGCCCGATACCCGGCCCGATACCCGTTTAAATAATCGTTTATGCTAAACGGGGATACCCGTTTTCCCACGGTTTTCCCCGATTAACCGATGGGGATCCCCGTTTAAATCCCCGCGGATTTTTAAGTGGGAACGGGTACGAGTTTTTTAAACGGGGACGGGGAGACCAATACCCGGCCCGTTGCCATCCCTACCGATCATAAGACATAAATCCACGATGGGAAGTATTTCTGGTGCTCAACAGATGTATTCATGTTCTTCCTCCTTCCAATAGTTTCCATTAACAACATTCCGAAACTATAAACATCGGCTTTATACGAGATGCCTCCGAGGTTTTTGTTGATCAGTTCAGGAGCAATGTATCCTATTGTACTTCGTGCTGCGGTTATAGACACAATACTATCATCCACCGAAAACAATTTAACAAGTCCAAAATTTGCAACTTTTGGTGTGAAGTTCTCGTCCAAAAGAATATTGTGTGGCTTGATATCGATATGTAGAATCTGCATATCACATCCTCGATGCTAGTATTCGATCCCTCGAGCTATCCTGAGCGCAATATCAAACAGTTTCTTCCAACTTAAGTTGATCTTATTTTCTTTTACAAATAAAATCCGATCAAGAGATCCATTTGACATGAAATCATATATAAGAGCTTGTTTCGATCCCTCAACACAGAATCCAATAAGTTTAGCCACATTAACATGATGAATCCTGCAGATCGTAGCAACTTCATTAATGAAATCTTGATATGATAAATCCTCCTTCAAAAGAAAATGAAAATTTGAACATATCAGTGTACATACATACATAAAATCTAATCGAGTCTCTAATACATTTTGGCTAAATTTTAAAGCTTACCTGTTATTAGAAGAGAGATAATATAAGTACCTAAAGGGAAAAAATGAAGAAAAATAAGAAATAATGATTAATTGAATATAGGAAGAGAAAAATTATAAATATTAAGGAAATTTGGGGATTAACCATAATGTTAGGTGGATAATATGAATTGTTGGCAACAGAGGGTCCTTTGAATAATTAATAGATGAAGCTGTCAGCATAACTTTGCAAGGCATATTTCAAGTTTCTTATCCTGAAAAACATTGGTAAATAATTAAGGGAAAATTTCTCATATTAACTACTTGGATACCTTCAAATCTTGAAATCAGAGGATATTATGCGTTTAAGTACACAAACTCATTGAATGATGCAGTAATAATCATATCAACAGTACTAGGACTCGGTCGACAAAACATATATACATGTTTTCTTTTCTTTTATTGAATGGTCTGAGATTATTGTAAGGTAATATATGTTCAAAATCTATCTTAGTTATTGACAATGCACACAGACCATACAAAAGACAACTACTTGAATACAAACCTCAAGAATATCATTCACTTTAACCACTAAGTTCGCTCAGATTTTCAATCTTGAATAAACTAAAATATCCTGTTTAAATAACAAGACATTTACTCCCACTCCCTCTTTATCAAGCTTGAAAGACTCGTATCAAATTTTCAATCTTGAATAATTCCTACCTTTCATCAAAGATTGCATAAAAATATAGAAAGACGAAAACACTCCTACAATAATATTAATTATCATTTATAAAAACGTGTTTTCCTTCAAATATTTACTAAGTTGGTTCCTAGTTATGCATTTCATAATTAAATCCTAAATCAATTTATTGAAGTTCAATTTGGGTCGGAAGTTTACTTACATAGCTCGGTATGGGGTGGCCTCTAGTGACTTAGAAGGGAAGATCCAAGAGAATTCGAACCCCCGCTTCAACAGATTGTAGATATCCGAAGTTAATAGATTGTTGATACTCTCAACCATAATTGGAACCAAAGCTTCGATTATGCAAGATTCATCGAAATCACGAGGATGAGTTCTCTCATCTAAAAAATAAACGTATGAATCCGATGGTGGTTCGAAGCCGGATTAGTTAACGGAGCAACGAGAGGCGTCGATATACGAAGAAGAATTCACCGGCTTCGAGCAGTTCACGAGATACATGGAAGTGAACGGGAAATCCAAAGAATACGGCAAATTAGGGTATATATAATCCCAGAACGATAACGTGCCGCGAGGAAGAGAGCAATCATCGACGGCGAGATTCTTGTCGATTGCTCGGACCGTATTACGCTCGTACGAGATGTTTTGGACGTAGACTCCGCCGTGGTTCGTGACTAAAACTGTGCGGTTGCTGCTGTCGTAGT